CCATATACTACTACAGTCATCGTAGTTTTCACAGCCACAATCACTTTACAGATGACACCACAATGGCTGAGCAAATAAAAATCTTTTCTGAGGAGGCCACTGATTTAACCATGCAAAGAATTCTATCCAGAATGACAATGTGATGGTTAGTTACGAAATGCAGAAATGTATAGCCAGGATGTGTTGCAGTGAGAAAGAAAAGCCCTTTTCACTCTTGACAGTAATGCCAACATGAGATCTCATATGAGACATATGACGGAAAGCACATCCCTATGTGCAGTGATGTAAACCAAAGCACTACGAGGCTCTACTCAGGTAACATATTGCACAGCAGCCCACCAGAACAAAACAGTTCAGAACGCTGAACTCCACAGTTCAATAAGTATCGACAAGCATATAGGCATAGCTGTCACCTGCCATACTCTCATTCTTCAGAGCGCACACACACACTGAAAATGTAAAAAGGCAACAGGAAATCAAGTATACAGAATGGAATCAACTACATGTGCACAGAAGAACAGGACAAAATGGGCACAGACCACTGTATGGAAGTATGATGCTATATAAGTTAAGCACAAATTCAAAGGCGACACACACCTACACGGCTGACCTAGCTTTTTCTGGTGCAACGGGATAAGACAGGGTGGATTAACAGGCTACATATTGACAAGGCTTTTAGGTGTAGACAAGGCTTTAGTCTAAACACCACAAGGAGATGAGTTCTGATTCTCAGACAGTTCCCTACCCTTATTGTTCTCAATGTATTATGTGAGGGTAATGTTGTGTGTGTATATATACACATATACACACATAATATATACACACACACACACACACACATATATTATATATACTGCCGTTAGTTTGGGTACATTTTTCATACTCTGTGATGTGTCCTACTGCAAACTGATATGCCCTTCCAGCTTGACTGTGAATAACTAGTCTCTGGAAATGATTTTCCAACCAGTTATGAACCTTGTAATAGCTCCATTATCTTATAACCTTATAATAGCTCCATCAAGACTGTATTTCCCTAGTTTATGTATATTGTATTTTTTCTTTAATATTTCCCTAGTTTATGTGTATTTCCCTAGCATGGCTTCATTTACTGGGAGAGCAACCCAACCAGAGCCTGCCGACTGCGGGATACTCAGGAACGTATGCTGAAAATCCTGGACTTCTTCTAAGGAGATTTTGAGCTGTTCTACCTCTCTCCTTAACAGCTCCTGGAACAGTCTATGATTGTCCAGTGGAGAGGGAGAGGCTGGGGCATCCACCTCATCAAGAGCAAAGGACAATATCCCTGTCAGAACCAGTGGTACCAATGGATCCTGCTGATCTTCCCCTTCTTCCACGGACAGGGGTGGGGAGGGATCTCCCCTCCTAGAAGGTCTAGGAGAGGATCTGCTTTTATGTTTGAGCGCACCCCTTACTCTCATCAGGGGGCCCAGCCAAAGAGTCCTTACCTGTCCCCCTCTCTGCTCCAGAGAGTCACATATAGATTCATAGATTCATAGATATTAAGGCCAGAAGGGACCATTATGATCATCTAGTCTGACCTCCTGCACAATGCAGGCCACAGAATTTCACCCACCACTCCTAAAAAAGACCTCACACCTATATCTGTGCTATTGAAGTCCTCAAATTGTAGTTTGAAGACCTCAAGGAGCAGAGAATCCTCCAGCAAGTGACCCGTGCCCCATGCTACAGAGGAAGGCGAAAAACCTCCAGGGCCTTCCAATCTGCCCTGGAGGAAAATTCCTTCCCGACCCCAAATATGGCGATCAGCTAAACCCTGAGCATATGGGCAAGATTCATCAGCCAGATACTACAGAAAATTCTTTCCCGGGTAACTTGGATCTTACCCCATCTAAAAACCCATCACAGGCCATTGGGCCTATTTACCATGAATATTTAATTACCAAAACCATGTTATCCCATCATACCATCTCCTCCATAAACTTATCGAGTTTAATCTTAAAGCAAGATAGATCTTTTGCCCCCACTACTTCCCTCGGAAGGCTATTCCAAAACTTCACTCCTCTGATGGTTAGAAACCTTAGTCTAATTTCTAATCTAAATTTCCTAGTGGCCAGTTTATATCCATTTGTTCTTGTGTCCACATTGGTACTGAGTTTAAATAATTCCTCTCCCTCTCTGGTATTTATCCCTCTGATATATTTATAGAGAGCAATCATATCTCCCCCTCAACCTTCTTTTAGTTAGGCTAAACAAGCCAAGCTCCCTGAGTCTCCTTTCATAAGACAAGTTTTCCATTCCTCGGATCATCCCAGTAGCCCTTCTCTGTACCTGTTCCAGTTTGAATTCATCCTTCTTAAACATGGGAGACCAGAACTGCACACAGTATTCCAGGTGAGGTCTCGCCAGTGCCTTATATAACGGTACTAAAACCTCCTTATCCCTACTGGAAATACCTCTCCTGATGCATCCCAAGATGACATTAGCTTTTTTCACAGCCATATCACATTGGCAGCTCATAGTCATCCTATGATCAACCAATACTCCAAGGTCCTTTTCCTCCTCCGTTACTTCTAGTTGATGCGTCCCTAGCTTATAACTAAAATTCTTGTTATTAATCCCTAAATGCATGACCTTACACTTCTCACTATTAAATTTCATCCTATTCCTATTACTCCAGTTTACAAGGTCATCCAGATCCTCCTGTAGGGTATCCCTGTCCTTCTCTAAATTAGCAATACCTCCCAGCTTTGTATCATCTGCAAACTTTATTAGCACACTCCCACTTTTGTGCCCAGGTCAGTAATAAAAAGATTAAATAAGATTGGTCCCAAAACTGATCCTTGAGGAACTCCACTGATAACCTCCCTCCAACTTGACAGTTCACCTTTCAGTAGGACCCGTTGTAGTCTCCCCTTTAACCAATTCCCTATCCACCTTTCAATTTTCCTATTGATGCCCATCTTATCCAATTTAACTAATAATTCCCCATGTGGCACAGTATCAAACGCCTTACTAAAATCTAAGTAAATTAGATCCACTGCGTTTCCTTTATCTAACAAATCTGTTACTCTCTCAAAGAAGGAGATCAGGTTGGTTTGGCACGATCTACCTTTTGTAAAACCATGTTGTATTTTGTCCCATTTACCATTGACTTCAATGTCCTTAACTACCTTCTCCTTCAAAATTTTTTCCAAGACCTTGCATACTACAGATGTCAAACTAACAGGCCTATAATTACTTGGATCACTTTTTTTCCCTTTCTTAAAAATAGGAACTAAGTTAGCAATTCTCCAATCATACGGTACAACCCCTGAGTTTACAGATTCATTAAAAATTCTTGCTAATGGGCTTGCAATTTCTTGTGCCAATTCTTTTAATATTCTTGGATGAAGATTATCTGGGCCCCCCGATTTAGTCCCATTAAGCTGTTTGAGTTTCGCTTCTACCTCAGATATGGTGATGTCTACCTCCATATCCTCATTCCCATTTATCATATAGTACTAGGGGACACACTCGTTGCCAATTCTGGATGATGTACCGGGAGGTCTCCCCAGTCTGGGCCTGACTGGAGCCTTGCTGTACTCCATAAGGTGCTTCCGAAGCCAAAGATATCGCAGAAAAGCACAGCAGATATTGCATTTAATGGAGATATGAGCTTCTCCGAGGCAGTAGAGGCAGTAATGGTTATCGTTGCTGGCCAAAAAAGGAGCAAGGGGAGGAGACATGGTTTTTGAAACCTGGTATCCTAGGCATAATCTAAGTCCCATGCTGGGAGATTGGAAAGATTATAACGAAGTATCAGCTCTGGACATTGGAGGATTCTGCCTCAGGCCATGCGGTGCTAAGAAAGAGGCGGTCTGTCAGCCTCACCCCTTATATCCTCAGCGTGGAGCACAGGGGCACAGGTGTGGACTGACGGACACTATTTGCAATAATTCTCCGGTTTCAGGAGGATGGAGCACATATGTATTCACAGTTGAATATACAGAGGCACCGGCACTCAAAGAAGAAATGTGCTATTGGATTCAGTTTATTTAGACCTGCTGTCACACTGGTAAAGTGGTCACACCTTTACAGCTAGTAGGGCTAATCTGAAACTTCTCAAAAAACACCACAACTATCTCCAGAAGTTGGGGGGAAAACTGACGCCTGCTCTGTTGCCTGTGATCTTGTGCCTGTTTTGCATCATGCAGACACTGACATCTTGTGACCGTTCGTGCACATTGCAAACAAAGGGAAACAATTTCAGAGTATTTCCTCTCTCTCACCCTCACGTTAGAGCAGTAAGACAGTTACTAAATCAACCAGGTAAGGATGATATTAGCATACTGTACTAGGATATGGCAACTGATTTAAGATGTACTATACATCTTTCTCAGACTCTGCAAAAATACCAAATTGAGCATAAACATTTGTTTAAAATAGTTTTGAATATTTTTTTGTGGGGGTTTTAAGCCTGAGGCGCGGGGAAGAGGAGAAGAAATGATGGATGTTTGGAAGGATTCTAGGTTAGGTTTTATTCTCTGCCTTCAGAACACAGATTTAAGTTTACATTTTCTGTTGAAGGTAAGAGGAATAATAAGCATTTCCTCACTCAGCCAAATGTTTCCAGTTTTCCTGCACTCTCAAATTGTCCTGGAAGCATATGTATTAATCTAACAGGATTGAACCAAAAGGAGAATATAGCTCACATGCAAGTTAGAAGAGAAAGCCCCTTCATTTAGTTACCCAAGAAACCCACCTGTGTATCTTGCAAATGAGAAATAAAGCCCATAGTATTTTAATATTTCATGCTAAAACACAGTATTTCAAAATAGTGTTTGTTAATATGTATTTAATTAGATGATACACACACATTTACTTCTATAAATTGCAGCAGAGCATGAACCAGAAGATAAATTTATCAGTTTGTATCACACCAGTCTGGTGACAATTAAGCTAAATACATTGTCTTCCTAGAAACATCAGTTCTTCAAAGAGCAAAAAGAGCAGCAAATGAAAAAATAAGGATATAATACCTTGAAATATTCCTTTCTAACTTGTTTGCTCCTTCTCCTCTCTTCATTCTGCCAGATAACAGGCTGTGTTTCTGGCCAGTGCTGCTCATCTGTCAAATCCTTTTGATTTTCTAGTGGCTGCAAATTTCAACAATGGTTTTAGACAGCAAGGATTTAAACATTAAGCATTAGCATGGATTATGAGGACACTGAAATTATATTACAGAGGTAAATTTGAACAGAAAAGTTGGTTTAACTAAAAATACTATTTTTCTTGGGCCTTGTTTGCCTCTGTTACACTTCAATTTTGCAGCACTGTAATTTCACCAATCTCTGGTACAGGTCACTTCTACAAACAGCACTTCTTACATTTCAAGATTCTAAAATAAGTTATATATGGGAGAGGGTATAAGTTTAACGATGGCCTTAAATTGTTACTTAATCATTTTTTAAACCACAGCTTTCTTCATTATCCATGCTGGGCCTGATTTTCACAAATTAGACATGTGCTGAAATTGTATACACTTACCACTAATAGGCATGCAAATAGAAAGGTAGACTTGTGACCAGCTATTCATGTGTGATTACCGTATTTGAGCACGCAGCGAGTCACTAGTGCACGCAAATGGAGGTGTGTGTAATTTTACACATCAGGTCAGTTATCCACTGATATTCTTTTTTTAAAAAGCATTTTCTTGGGACTTTGACCTACAGTGAAATTTATGCAATAGATGGCACTATACAAATATCCATCTTTACAACAAGTAAATTAATATAATAATTTGATGGAGACAATAAAAGGCTTATTCATAAAAGATCAGTGAATTTAAATAATTAAATGTTTTCATATCCACTAAATATAAAGGAAGATGATTCAAAAGGAAATATTTACCTACAAGGACAATGTATATAAATCAATCTGCATTTCTAAAGCTGTTTTTGTATTACCACCTAAAGGCACCATAAAATGAATGTAAAACAAACACTGAATTAAAATCTACAACCAAACATTTTGAGTTTGATCACAAACATTTCACAGCACTTTGATGTGTTTCCTACTTAGGCATAAAAACAACAAGAGATCTATAACAGGGGTGGCCAACCTGAGCCTGAGAAGGAGCCAGAATTTACCAGGCTACGTTGCCAAAGAGCCACAGTAATATGTCAGCAGCCCCCCTCAGCCCTCCCCACCCCCACCCCCAGCACCACCCACCCCCTGGCAGCCCTCCCCACACCTCCCAATCAGCTGTTTCATGGCATGCAGGAGGCTGGGCTTGAGGGCGGGGAGAGGAGAGAGGGGCAAGGGCATGGCAGGCTCAGGGAAGGGGTGGAGTGGGGGCAGGGTCTGTGGCAGAGCCAGATTGTGAGCAGTGAGCACCCCCTGGCACATTGGAAAGTTGGCATCTGTAGCTCCTAGCCCCGGAGTCGGTGCCTAGACAAGGAGCCGCATTTTAACTTCTGAAGAGCCGCATGTGGCTCTGGAGCCACAGGTTGCCCATCCCTGATCTGCAACGTAAGGACTATTTAAAAACTGAGAAAACAGAAAACCTGATACACACAACGCAAAGAAATTATAGAAGAATAAAGTAGGGCAAAATTAAGACCCATAATGCCTTAGAAGCAGTACAAAGATCTTAAATTAATATAAGTGTTATTTGGAGAAAAAAATGAAGCTTGCATTATTAAAAGGGACATTTTTAGATTACCTTTACATTTGCAACCACAATTATGTACATACATTTACTGGTATCTGCAAACAAATACATATCTGAACACAAACACTATGCAAGTTATGCTACACCACTAGTACATCCGTGGGTAAAATGATTATCAAGGGCTAATAAGGGTTCTTCAGTTTTACATGCACATATTTACCTGCCATCTGTAAGGAGACACTGGAGAATTTATTTCATCTGTTGAGACACTTAAAAAAACACCACTATTTGAATATGTATTTTCTTAGTTTTACTATGTTACTACTTTTTACACATTAATAGCAAGACTTCCAAAATATTTTATACTAATATAGAAATTTGATATTTTAAGAGGATTTGTTGAGGTCAGAATGCAGTGTTAAAAATACACATTGTTATCAACACTGTTTTGATGTTTTGTGTGTTGCCTAACAATTTTATAACCAATATTGTCAAAAGTAATTTTATGAGCATTTGATTAAAATGTAATGAAATCTGAGATTTTTGCTTCCAGATCCATTTCAAGCTCCTTTATAGTTTTAGCATGCTATGCTTACCATTTTCAAAGTTTATTTCCAATACATACGATAACTGGATAACATTGATCTTTAAATTACTACTTGTGGAATTCCATTACTTCCTTTCTTCAAGAACCAGACACACACTTTATTGAAAATTAACAGTAAAAATAAAGTCTGTTCTAATGCCATTTTAAAAGGGCACTTTCAGTTTAAGCACACAAGTGTTTTTTGTTTGTTTTTTTACATTGAATATTAAGTACATCTAAGATCACTACAACTGAAAGTTCAGAGTAACAATTTCTCTATCGTTTCCAGAGTTTTTACTTTGTGACTGCACCAGCCCTGTATATAGCCAGTTTCACTGTTTGCCCTGTATGGTCAGTTTTCGTGTGTGGGTCTTTCACACAGCAACAGGGCAGAGAAACATTTTAGAAGAGAGGAAAATTAAATTGTAGAACCTCAAAAGTTCACAGGGGCACTAACGGGTGGATATAGTACTTGAAATTCCCAGGGGCTGTAGTGTGGCTCAGAAGTGGACAACTGGATTATGATGTTGTGTCATACAATACGACATCACTGAATACAACACAATAGAAAGTGAAGGATAAAAAAGCAGCAAATCATTTCTGATGACAAGGTGCTATTTCTGAAATAACTGCAGTAGCTTCAAAGTTGCTATATGCTCTGCCAAGACTTTTAACAGGTAGATTTAAAAATAGACATAAGATATATGATCTTTCTACAGTACTGTTCCGGGAAGCAAAACTATAAATGTCGCAGGCAAATGCAAGTTGCAGTTTGGGAAACAGGCTGCAAAATTTCTGCTGTGGGCCATTATAGGTTCAGTTAAAATCCTAATTTTTAGGATAATTGCATTAGAAAATCTAAGGAGTAAAAACAGTAATGCACATAAACAATGAACCAGAAACAACCCTGTGATGGAGTGTTCACCCAATGAAAGGCCTGGGAGGGTTAAGATGGCTAAGTGAGCCAATTAAGTGCCCAGGCTGCACCTGGAGGAGACAGGGAGCTCAGCTGGGCAGGAACAGGTGGGGCCTATATAATCCAGGAAGTTGGCAACAGAGGGGACTGCATGGAAGTAGTTTGTAGTGACTCCCTGCGTGAAGGGAGGTGTGGTTTGGACTATAGAGGATAGCCCAAAGTCACGCCCTGGGAAGAGGGAATTGGGAGGCTGACAAACCTGGGCGGGGGGAAGCTTAGAAGGTAGGACAGGCTCAGGGGGAAAGCAGCAAGGTATGGGATAGGTCAAACCTTGGCTGCCGATGACAGGGCCCCTGAGCCAGGACCCGGAGTAAAGAGCACACCCAGGTCCCCCTACCAGCCACTGATGAAGTGGCACCAGCAGGGCAGTAAGCAAGAAAACTGCCTGAACCCATTTGTCAAGAGGGACTTTGATAACCCAGAAGCGGGGGAAAACAAGTATGGTCAACTGGCTGGAGGGGCGAGTCATGAAGAGGAGGCTGCGGTTCCTGGAGTGAGAGGGGTCCACAGGGTGAGAGGACAAAGGAAGAGACACCACCAGGGGAGGGAACAAGGCCTGGCTGGACCTAATTCCCAGGATGGCAAGCAGGTGACTGAACCCTGTAAGAACTCATTTTTGGTTTATACATGGATAATGTACCTTTTTCAAAAGGTACAATATACGTTAAGATGCTTGGAACCAGTCCTGTGTGAGATATATCATACTCAATTTTTAAATCACTTAGATATGTATTTATCATTTATAGACCTATTCACCAAGGAAATCCAATCTGAATAGAAAGCACTGAAAAACAATTATATTTAGAGAAAATGTTACTGGTATAGCTATTTCGTTTCTGCCTTTCCATTTATTACTGCAAACATTTAATAGGAAACAAAGATCCTGTTTTTAAGTTCCATCTACTTGCATTGATTATTCCTTCCTTGAAGTAAACCCTGTTAGTTACAGACTAGGTTACTGAGGAGAGGGTTATGTTTTCACAGACTCTGGGGCTCCAATTTTCCTGTTAAAAACGGTTCCCTCTGACATTACAAGGAAAGTTTGTCTCTGACAAATTTGTTTGTTAGAAATAGAATATCTATTGGTCCTCTGCCTAGGACTGGTTCAAACACAGACAAAAAGATGCTAGTTAAAATCTACCTTATGAAGAGGGCCTTCCCCCCATGATTGCTCCTGAATATACCAAGTAATTGTGCTCTCCCCTGCCCAGTAACTGGGTTTAGGATTTGGCATTATTCACTGATATGATTTGCAGAGTAGCTTTTCCACTCCTGATGCTTCTGACTATTTACAGTTGGGAAATGTATATTAGCAGCTGCAAACAGCAAAAACCTCCATTAAAGAACACTAGCAAACCAACAGTATCCCTACAAAAAACAAACAAAATTTAGGATTAAAAAAAGGCTTGCTTTCAGTTTACTGCTCAACATTAATTCCTAAATAACTTGGAAATGCACTGTTTACACCATCTAGAAATGTTTTTAACTTAAACTGTTAGTAATTTTAAACACCAAAACTAATTTTTCAAGTTCTACTTAAATGTTCAAAGTGAGAAATTCCACACCTACCCCCAAGTTATTCCCACTATAGATAAGAAACTAACCTGACTATATTTCAAAGAATAAAAATGGTAAATTAAACTCAATGGCTGCGAGAGCTTTCCATTAGGGACATGCCAAAATTAAACAAAACTGACATCCAAGGGACACAGTCAACTTGCATTCTTTTAAAATTGGCAAATTAAAATGAATTCTTTTGACAGGGCACCCTTTCAAAGACAGCATTCTGAGTTTTTTCTTTAAAATGCCTTATAAAAATTTTACCTATTATCTGTTCCTCTCAACCCGAAAGAAACTGACAAACTGACTAAAAAGGGCAGTGAAACTGACTACACACACAGCCTGACAAATGTGCCAAGGAAACAAAGCGTTAAAGCTATTTTCACTGACTTCTGTCAGAATAATCTTGGATGTTACTACAAAATATAGGCGGCACATACCATTCACAGGAAGAAAAAGTGGAAGATAAATATGCAATTCATTCCCCAGTATTTCAAACATGCATTATCTGACGAACTGGTGTAAGCTTTTAATTATATAGAACAAAATTCTTCAGTTTATAACTGAACTTCAGCCACGGAATCTGAGGAACCCAAACCATATGAATGTTAGATATTCGGTAAGATACTAGAATTCAATTCAGCTCCAATGGTGCAGGGAGGTGCAAACCAAGGGACCAAGAGGAGAGAAAAATCAAGCCTGGGAAGAGCAGGCCTCTCTGCTAGCTGCTGAACCCCCAAGTTTTCCATTGGATCAGCTCCTCAACCAGACTCTCAGCTGTGAGAACCTTACTCTGCACAATCCCTCACCCCCCTCGTATTGGTTTTCTGCTGCTGGAGACTGAGAGTCAGATGGTGGTATTAGCAGACACCAAGAAAATCTGGCCTTTGTTTCCTAAAAAAAACCACACCCCTTTATCAACACTGGTATAAGTAAAGTTTGGGTCTCTCATCACAAAAGGCAGTTAAGGTCACCCAGTAGAGTAGTGATCCAGCAAAGGGCACACAGCCATCCAGAGTACTTATTTTATGAACTCATGGCTGAAAGAATAAGAACTTTCTGATAATCATGTACAACAGTGTGAAAAAAACAGACCGACAGCAAAATACATTGCTGTAAAATGTCTTAATGATCATGTTATACCAGAATTAAACAAAACCCCAGCACACTTAAAAAGTGCTCTGGTATTATTATTCCAACAGTTTTCTTTCACATCCAAATTCTGTCACTGGAAGGAGTGTGAGGCTCCCACAAAAGTCAACAAGAGTTATTCACGAACATTCAAGGGCAGAATTCAGTCCTCATTGTTCACTGATCCTTCATCCCTACCCTGTATAAAATGACCACCACAAAAAAGATCTTATTTCAGTACTATGAAAGAAAGCAATAAAAATTTCTTAATACCTTTTTTCAGATTCCACGGTCTGCTTTGGCCTGTTTCTTGTGTTTACTGAGGTCGAATGATTAAGAAGCCTACAAAGAAAACACACACTTATCTGACAGCTCTCTTGTTAGCAACCTCTTTAAAGCATACAGCACCTTCTCCATTAAACGCTTCCCTACAAAATAAACACTCTGAATATTTAAGTGGCATATTTTACATAGAAACTGAATGTGCCTATATAAAGAAAACCCAGAGCCCAGTCATACTTCCACTGAAGTCAACAGCAGAGTTTCCAACTTCTATGCTCTCTCAAGTCTTGCAATAGTAGGTATTTCTTTAAAAAACAAAACCAAACCAAAACCCAACTCTTTACGATCTCAGAAAAAGCTAGGTCTCCTTCCTCATTTTTTACACAAGAGGCCACCACATCAACTGTTCTCATTGGGTTTAAAGCCAGCCAGCCAGCCTTCAGCTTCGAGGCCCAGTCACTATTCACCAAAGTGGCAAAGACAGGACACAGTGGGACATGGGAATGAAGAGTGGGAGCGGTCAGGAAGAACGTACAGATGGCTAGTGAGGCACAGCATAGAGAACAGGGGAAATGTAAAAACAAACGGGAGACTGGGAGTGGGGTTTTGAGCAGGAGACTGCGGGAAAGGCTGAGAGAATTGGGGGGAGGGCAGGAGAGTCAGAACAATGATGGGGAGAATGGTGATGAATAAAATGGCGATTACCCTCCTCAATCCTGGAATGGGCAACTGAAGTCACCCTCAAAACAGCTGGTGGTCTATGCCTACATGTGCTTTAGGGGCAGATTATTACCCTGAAACAATCACACACAGGGTAGAAGGAGATGGGGCTGCCCCCCTTAAAGGATTAAAAAGACAGAAAGCAAACCAATAAACAGAGCAATTTTTTTTAACTGAACGATTTTCAAGCAAGTCTCATGCTATTTTGGGGTTGGACTCGGGATTTTTGAATTCTTAGAACAGAAAATATTGCACTGTAATACTCCATCGATTTCATGGTGAGCAGGATTGAGAACAAAGCGTACTCTTAAATTACACAAAAACCTAGAACTCAGTCATAATGATGATTATGATAATAATGATAATAAAAACAACTATGTACGAGAAGGATAAACAGTAAAATTGGAAAAGTGAAACAGACACCTACATTTTAAGTCACAGATCAATCACTCTCTTACAACTGTCTTTAGTACCAGTGAATTAATTTTAACTGACTTGTATCACAGGCTTTCATTCACCCTCATCATAGGTGGCTCAGCTTAATGGTACTACAAATACTTTTCAATGACAGGGTAAGTGTTGTATTGTGTTGTGACTATGCAAATCTCATTTAACTCGATAAAGTCATGCAGACTGAATTCAAACTGGAAAATTTACTCCCTCCAGTCCACATTCCTGATATTCAATCTTTAAGGACTGAATATTTTGGGGTGTTTTGAGGTAGGAAAAAGAAATTCTAATTCTCCAGAACAAATACTTACATAAGGATGCAATGTTTGTGCTATATGATATAGCAAATACTGTAAAATAATGAAACCATTTTAGGATCATTAGTTTTCAGGAAATTATTCCACTGAAGTCAGTGGACAATTTAGAGTATACCGATGGCAAGATAAGACCCTTGGAATAAAATGAAAGATTAAAAAAATGGAATAATTTGAATCACTTAATAACTTTGATGCCACGACTGAAACTGTCACTGTAGATAAAATGATTTCATGTAAGTAAGACACGCAGTTTTAGAAATAAGCCATTTGACATATTAAATACTAACAATGTGCGCATTTTTGCTGGTTGAAGCTATTTCCATTAATGATATAAGTCATTGATGCTTCCAATTATTAAAAACCAAGACATTTATATGGATGTTCAAATATATTTTGAATACTCTACTTCCTAAAAATAAATTCAGATCTCTTTTTCTAGTATTGAAAATAGTCTGGAACAGTATACTCAAAAATGAACTCAGAGTAAATGTACTGGTAAGTAATAGCAAGTTCAGTATCTCTCAGATTAGTGGTTAGATGTTTGACTAGTCAGGGCCTTTTGAATTTCCTGTGAGACTGAATGACAGAGCTAAATGGATTTTTGCAGGTTCACTGGGAAAATGTTGTCTACAGCCTGTTTATAAAATGCATGGAAGTTAATTAATCTATATTTACTAAGTTTCCAAACCCAACAGTTCAAGGTAAAATTCTCTGAACTGGAGAAAGTCATTCATTCCAAACATTGCTGCCCTGCCCCCCCGAGATCATTATATTTTTCTCAAAAAACAAACCAGCCACCAGACATTAGAAAGCTTTGTAACTCCAAAACTAAGATTCCAGTTTATAAAAAAAAGCCAACAAACTGCAGGGCGTATGCAAAATGAATGCGTCAAGTCACCCACAAATTCTTAACTCATGTTATTCTCAGAGTGATGCTACCAGGACAGATTCCACCATTTCCATCCACATCACATCTCTTCACACTCAACCCTCGCTCTTTATAATACATAACAATCAGTAGTTGAAGGGAATCTGGCCTTATTTATCACTAGAAGAGTACTTCAGTATTTCTTTGCAAGACATATAGCATGAGTACCATCGTTTTCTCCTGTTTAAAAAGATCTCATGTCCCGAGAATTACACAAATTTTGCTGTACACCGAATTAGTGTATACAATGTCCACCTGACCAACATCATGAAGTTTAGTTATTGCATGGTAAATGAAAATCACTCAGATTTTCAGTCTCCCATTGACAGACATTACAAGTACAGCATCTTCTCCAAACTTCAGATTAGAAGGGATGATGGGGGCCTGACGTTACCTGTGCTCACTTCCCAAAGTTTAATAGGTTTTGTTTTTAAATAATGTGGAATCTTCACTTGGCATTAGTAGGCTCTCTAATACACTACATTCTTAAGAGTTCTCAAGAGTTTTCCAAGTCAAATGAAATCTTAACTGGATGTTAAAAGATTACTGCCTGGAAGTCCCCTTAGATTAAAATACTCAAAAATTGCTCAGTGACAGGAGTCACTGCAGAATATGCCAGGTGTACAGGAACTTGGTGGGCCTTGCAAGTGGGGTAAGGAATTCAGATGGACTCAAAAATCAATAGGCAGAAGGACCCCATTCCTTTGAAGGCAGTATCTCATCTTTACATATGGCTCTTCCTTTCATATCCCAATATTGAAATTCTTGTACCCCATGTGGCTTTTACTGGTTGCCCACTCCCTCCATCTTGAACTTTGCAGAAAATTGTTATCTAGGGCAAGATATAATACTTGAAATTTCAGGTTGGTTGCTTAGGTCTGGTGAAGTCAGTTGTGGTGACTGAAAAAAAAAAGTCAAACTTATAATTGGAAGTTACCTCTGCATAGCTAATGTTAAACTACCTAATGTTCTGAAATACAAACACACTTCCTCTTGAAGAAAGAAAAGGAGTACTTGTGGCACCTTAGAGACTAACAAATTTATTTGAGCATAAGCTTTTGCGAGCTACAGCTCACTTCATCGGATGCATTCCTCTTGGACAATATTGAATGTGTTCATAACAATTTAGTTTGTGATCAATTTTTTGGCCATTAAATATCCTATACTAATTCACTCGGTTACTTTGTTCTATTTTCCATAAGCCAAGCCTTGATAATGTTGCTCTTGTCTAAAATGTGATCTTCAGAGTTTTAAGCTCCACAAACACTAGATACCTGGATGCACGTCCTGCCGCCCTCGTCCTCTGGAAGAGTTTTTCACTGAATGAAGTTCTATAGCTTAATGGTCTCCGTCTGTATTCACATTTCATGTACACCAAACCCAGAGATGGAAGAAGGAAACAGGAGAAGTTGATGGGAGAGGACAGGGAAGTCATTAGTATAGCAAGCAGAAAAGAAAAAAAGAGGATAGATTTCACAGGATTAAAAGAAAACATGCTAAATGATCAGAGTTAAGGTTAATAAGAAATTATTAGGATGCACAAATTTTAGAGGAGTCCTTGTGATCAGGTCAAAATTGCACAATGTAAACATTTACAAAGTTGTAGATTCAAAAGCAGAAATATTTCAACTGTTAATCTCTAATTCTAATTCTTATTCCTGTCACTACAGGGAATTATACATTCACAAAAAATTATGGGCCAAAATCAGGGCTGACTTACATCTTGCTATATTTTGCTGATAGCATATAGTTTAAATCAGTAATGAGTTTGTCTCCACATTTTAAAAAATTTACACAAATATTAAATACAAGTGCCACAGATATAGCAGTAAAGCTTAGCAAATCAATAGGTTCATACTTCCAAAGCAGAATTTAGAGTTCTCAGCTAAATTACTAAATGCAACACAGTAATGGCTATGCTTAACAAAAGTAATTTAAAAGCAGCACTAGGTTAGAAGTCTGGTCTTCAGAGGAAACGTTTTGGTATAACAAATGATGACATAAGGAGATTTACAACGTTTTTCCAATATAATTATCCCCATTAAAAACAAACAAACATGACAGTGTTTTTAAACCATTGTTTACTATAATTTTTAAATATTGTTTATATTTTATAGTACAGTAAAAATTCAAAATATTTTCTTATATTTTCTTATTATAGTTTTTGCCAGTTGCCAGCTAACCAGGACTAAACATTACTGTTTCCTACTTATCTCCCTTTCTTAATTGTATTTCCCTTCCCTACGGACACCTCCTCATTCCTGAATAGTTTAAATAGAATTACAAGTAATTAAAGCTATAGAAACATTCATTTTATCTGCTCACACTGTTAATATTAAACTCAGCTAACACCAATTCATTAGTTGCAATATAATAATTACACAAGGGGGATACACTCTGCCCAATTTCTAAAGCTTGACAATATGCAATATCAGGATATTTTAGGTTTTCATATCTTTCACAATGTTTTAAGAAAAACAGATGCGTAGCATCTCATTGCTAGGCTGAAATTTAAGACACTAATGAAAACTGTATTCATCTGATTATGGAATGTGTCGTCTTGCTACATTGCTGCCACACTCTCTCTGCTTCCTTCAGTCTTGCTCCTGCACAGCTGATCACATTTTTGGGAAATCCTATGACCATGCAGACTCCCCTCCTACGAATACTCTTTAACCCCTCTTAATTCTGCCATGTTCCTTATAAAACACCACTTCTTCACCATCACTGAATGCCACATCCAGAAACCATCTGCCAATGTGCCATTGACCCAAGTAATGCTCTCAGAGCCCCCATTCAGGATTGCACTGATTCCATTCCATTCTCTCCAACATCAAATACAAGCTTCTGGTCCTTATCGTTAACTTAGCCTTCCCTACTTGCCCTCTCTTGTAACTTCTCATATTGCCTTCTTTCCCCTTCTCACTCCACAGCAGCCAGCCTCCATCACCTGTTTTTCCACTTCCACAAGCACCTTTTCATTTTTTTCCTTGTCATGCCTATACGTAGAATACCCTGCCCAAATGAGTCCATAAAGCCACTCTCCTGTCTCACTCCAAATCCCTCCTCAAGAGCCCCCTTCTCTGCAATGCCCATTGGAAACTGCCAGCTGATAACTGCTAACTAGATGGCCAAGATGGACTACTGATATTCAACTTGTTTGTGTGTTTTATTGTTTGAAAGACGCATGCTTGAACAAGGGTCTACTCTCCTCATCCTTTAGCAAAATGTTACAACTTGGCAGTCTGAATGGAGGAGTTACCCTCTAAAATCTGGTAACCTACATTCACTGAAATCTTCATATTCTGTAAAAATAACCAGCCACACAGAAGCAGCACATGGTGCTGAATAGTCATTTATGATCTATGCTTAGAGCATTTTAGTGCATCAGCAATAATGCCCAGAATTTGCCATTACTAATTTCCATCATTTTTACATAGGAGTGTTTCACTTTGAAAAATGCCAGTGTTAACACCTGATCAGATAATCAAGGACTAGCTTAACATTATGAAACATAAAATATTCACATCAAATGGATTTCCTGCTCTCCTGTCCACTGGATGAGCAATGACAAAAATAATCATTAATTGCTATCTATCACAATATACAGGTTACATCTGGACATTGTTGCTTCTCTGTCTAGCAATTTTATGAAAACAGACATGAGACACACACCTAAAAAGTCTGTATGAATTTGTTTGACTGTTTAATGTCTTCAGTTGCACAAATCTATTCTCAAAGCTGTAAAACAGAAAAGAGTTTTAAGCAGACAACTTAAACGGGAAAACAAATTAGATTCGGCACACACCTCGCCTAACCTATTACTGTATTTGGATTTTGTATTACCGGTTTTTCTGCTCTTGTTGCAGTAGCTGAGCTGCTATTTTTCTCAAGTCAGTCACTTCTTTCAGCTCGTCATCTTCCTCTGCCAACAGCTGTTCTTTCTGAAGTCTGAAAGATTAACTTAGCTGAAACGTTTGGTTTCCAGTAGGTTATGGAAAGGCATGCATGTTTGGGGGCTTGTTTTTTTAAGCAAATGATTGTGTTCCTTGACAGCAATTGGAAAAAAAACCTTCCTAAAAGTTGATCTGCCCAGCCACAGGTGCTTGTACCCACTATCGCAGAACTATGCTCTGGAAATGCTGACTTCCAAAGGGATGTTTATGAAGGCCTACCTTTTTTCATCTCCCCACTCATCATTCCCTTCTATTTTCTGCGATTTCTCAGGGTGTTTTCCTCGTTCCTTATACAGAAAGAAAAAAATTAAGAGTTTAGACATTAATGACCAAGATGTGTCATCTAATTTTTTCCATTTATTAAGTTACCTTACCTTAACATAAGAGACAAATGGTCCCATTTGTACATCTCCTTGCTCAGGAATAGCTGCATCTTCTGTGTTAGGATCAATGTAATCATACACCTCCTGGTCTAGGGATGATTGATCAAGTTTGAAAAAAAGAAAATATTAAATAGTTCTCTCAACCTAACGTTATTCCTAAAAGGTACTTGTGACAGCCAAATATAACTAATACAGTGAGCTCTTGCTATATCTAGACAAGATTTTCATGAGACGGTTTTTTCATTATTGCATATTTGTTGATCTTGTATTTATAATTTTATTACAATGTTGTCTGAAGTGTAAATGCACAGATCTAATACACCATCATATAATCTTGTGCGGTGTTTAACGGAAATTATCTGCACCTGAAACAATAGTGTGTTTCTGTGTACTAAAAAGTCTAGGCATTACCTTTATGTGAGTCAAATTTACTTCCGATTAAATGATTGTCATTCCTTAAAGTCTGTTCCCTCGTCGATTCTGATACCTGAGAGTGAAGGCTGATTGTGTCGTCATCAGATGGCTGCAAAGAATAATCAGAATTAAAACATGACTGGCATATTAATTATTCAGTTTACTGATAAGCCACAGTGTCATTAAAGAGCCTACTATGAGGGAAGATTTAGGTGAAACACTTATATGAATGCAGTGGTCAAGACATGTTTTGTTTCATCTGAAAGACAGTACTTTTTATTTACAGTGCCCTGCAGCAAAATTTTGGGGCCACTGGTCTCTTAACTGAGTAAAGCGTGCCACCTACAGAATCAACACTTTCTGAAGCACATAAATATTTCTCCACTCAACCAATTACCAAGCACAACCCCACTTAATTAAAGGAACTGTGATTCTGTCCATTAAGTTTGTGTGGCCACTTTACATCTGATCAGTCTGACCTTTGACATAATCCTGAAATACTCCTCCACTTTACGGTTTCTTATGAACAACCTTCAGATGAATTTGCAAGTACATTTTTTAGCCTAGACTTAAATCTTCCCTTAGTCCCAGTTTTATAATTTTACCATATTCAGTTTTAGTACTACTGTTATTCAAACTGTAGTTGATTACACATAGATTCATACAACTACATAAGCAAGCTATTGGAAAAATAGGATAAATTCCCTTATAGTTTTTAAATGTTGCTGATAATATGTCTAACATGTCAACCAATACTCCCCATTAATAAACAGCCAATGCAAAGAAAAATACATTACACCTCAGCTTATATTAATTAAAACAGAAATTATTAGAAAAACAAAAGCAACTCTCAAATTAATTGTTCCCTGTTGTAAAAAATGATCTTGTATTTTATATCTGAAAATGGCCAAACAAGCCACAACTGATTTGGTTCAGAGTTCAGTTTTTAAAAAGCTTGGAGTGGGGTGACAGAACACCATGCAACTAATTTGGGCTAAATATTCAGAGGGACGTATAAATAATTTAAATGTTTAGTATCATCATTCTATGCTTTACAGCAAGTTTCACCAACAGAATTTGGTCCAATAAAAGATGACACCTCACCCACCTTGTGTCTCTAATATCCTGGGACCAACACAGCTACAACTACACTGTTTACAGTAAGTTTGTCACACATTTTACTGAGTTCATTTAACTGCAGTATGTATTACATTAAAGCTTTCCCTAGTTATACAAAGCATATCTGAATGACAAAGAAATAAGCAATTTAGTGCAGCAAAATTATGCACATGCTGAATGATAAACTGCTTCTGTAAATGAAGAAAAATACTGTCCTTTCAGCCCTCTTTTATCAACACAAAAATAAAAATATACAGTGAATAATAAAAACGCACTCACTTCAGTTGCAGACAGTCTTTTATCCCCATTATCACTGCCAATGCCAGAGTCAGGACCATGATTTTTATTGGGATAAAAGTCTTCCATACTATAACAAAGAGAAGGCATTGAACATAATATAAGCAAAAAAGGTCGTGCCTTAGAGCTAACCAATTTATTTGAGCAGAGCGTGAGCTACAGCCACTTCATCAGTGTTTACCGTGGAAACGCAGCAGACTTTATACACACAGAGAATATGAAACATACCCCCCACCCCACTGTCCTGCTGGTAATAGCTATCTAAAGTGATCAACAGGTGGGCCATTTCCAGCACAAATCCAGTTTTCTCACCCTCCACCCCCCCACAAATTCCCCCTGCTGGTGCTAGCCCATCCAAAGTGACAACTCTTTACATAGTCAAGTCGGGCTATTTCCTGCATAGATCCAGGTTTACAAGATCTCTGTCAAGCTTTCTTACAACTACAATACCCACCTGCAGAAGTAAAGAAACAGATTGATAGAGCCAGAAGAGTTCCCAGAAGTTACCTACTACAGGACAGGCCTAACAAAGAAAATAACAGAACGCCACTAGCGGTCACCTTCAGCCCCAACTAAAACCCCTCCAACGCATTATTAAGGATCTACAACCTATCCTAAAGGATGACCCAACACTCTCACAAGTCTTGGGAGACAGCCAGTCCTGCCTACAGACAGCCCCCAACTGAAGCAAATACTCACCAACAACCACATACCACACAACAGAACCACTAACCCAGGAACTTATCCTGCAACAAAGCCCTTGCCAAGTGCCCACATATCTATTCAGGGGACACCATCACAGGGCCTAATAACATCAGCCACACTATCAGAGGCTCGTTCACCTGCACATCCACCAATGTGATATATGCCATCATGTGCCAGCAATGCCCTCTGCCAGTACATTGGTCAAACTGGACAGTCTCTACGTAAAAGAATAAATGGACACAAATCAGATGTCAAGAATTATAACATTCATAAACCAGTGGAGAACACTTCAATTCTCTGGTCACACAATCACAGACATGAAGGTCGCTATCTTAAAACAAAAAAACTTCAAATCCAGACTCCAGCGAGAAACTGCTGAATTGGAATTCATTTGCAAATTGGATACTATTAATTTAGGCTTAAATAGAGACTGGGAGTGGCTAAGTCATTATGCAAGGTAGCCTGTTTCCTCTTGTTTTTTCCTACCCCCCCCCCCCAGATGTTCTGGTTTAACTTGGATTTAAACTTGGAGAGTGGTCAGTTTAGATGAGCTATTAGAGCAGGAGAGTGAGTTTGTGTGTGATGGGGGTGGGGGGATGTGAGAAAACCTGGATCTATGAGGAAATAGCCCGACTTGACTATGTAAAGAGTTGTCACTTTGGATGGGCTAGCACCAGCAGGAGAGTGAATTTGTGGGGGGGGGTGGAGGGTGAGAAAACCTGGATTTGTGCTGGAAATGGCCCACCTGTTGATCACTTTAGATAAGCTATTACCAGCAGGACAGTGGGGTGGGAGGAGGTATTGTTTCATATTCTCTGTGTGTATATAAAGTCTGCTGCAGTTTCCACGGTAAACATCTGATGAAGTGAGCTGTAGCTCACGAAAGCTCATGCTCAAATAAATTGGTTAGTCTCTAAGGTGCCACAAGTACTCCTTTTCCTTTTGCGAATACAGACTAACACGGCTGTTCCTCTGAAACCTGTCATAAGACAAAATACCACTTTTCTAAATGGTAAGTGAAAGGAAGACACCATTTTCAAGATGTTTCCCACCTATCTCTCTATGGTTGCTGGGACAAAGGGTTTCTTTGTTTTGTTTTACACCCATCTGTGACACAAGACCCACTATAGAAATGTTTAGTGTGCTGAGAGGCTATTTTAAAGAAGGATATCAGATAGAAATTTTAAGACTGAAGATCAATTAGGTTATCTCGTCCAACTTCCCAAAAAATTCAGGAGTGTTTCCCTAAGTCCATTCAAGTGCTGTGTGAATTTCAAGTGCAATATTCTGCACTAACTCCCCTCCACGGACACTCATTCTACACTAAGAGTTCCTTCTCGCAGTTTGGCTTAATCCACTCTCAGTGCAGAATAAGAGTCCACATGGGAAGCTAGTTTAAAACAGGTTTCAGAGTAACAGCCGTGTTAGTCTGTATTCGCAAAAAGGAAAGGAGGACTTGTGGCACCTTAGCGACTAACCAATTTATTTGAGCATGAGCTTTCGTGAGCTACAGCTCACTTCATCGGATGAAGTTTCCACAGTGTGCATCCGATGAACTGAGCTGTAGCTCATGAAAGCTTATGCTCAAATAAATTGGTTAGTCTCGAAGGTGCCACAAGTACTCCTTTTCTTTTTAGTTTAAAACAGCTATTCCAGGCTATTTCCCAGTGTAGACAAGCCCTTAGGTGTGGTATTCTGACTGGTATCCAGCCTACATTCACATTTGTACATTTTCATCCCATTATACTTAGTTAAGCCTCCCTGGATAACTAACTAGTTCTTCTCTTACAGAAGTTGTATGTTTCAAACAGCTCTTCTGTTTTATTCAGCACCAAAAGTCAACAAATACTGACACAGGTTGTGGATGAAATTTTAAGTATGTTGGCAAGGGTAAAATCTTGTTCTATAGGTAATACAGTTTTCTAAAACAAGACGGGTTAAAGACTGTTGATATCAGACAGTTCTGAAACAGTTAATAGAAGTATATTAATTGAGAAAGTCCAGCTGTATACATTGCACTATTTAGTTCATTTGGACTTTTCAGTTTGATTTCTCTTGTTTTTCTGAGACTTTATAAGGTATTGCTCAATTTAGAATTCCTTATAAATGTATACAGCTGGATCAATATTGGAAGGCAGGCTTTCCATCTAGCAATACAGTTCTATTTTGAGCACGCTCAGAGGAATATAACTTCAATGCTCTACCGTACTGTAGTAGTATGAAAAAGAAAAGCTGCTCATTTCAAAAAACAAATTCAAACCCATCTTTAGTCTAATTTCTGGTGTACCCTACTGCCGAAAATTTGAAAAAGCACAATTACTATTTGCTTTGTAGCAAGAAATTAAAAGAATGAAGAGATATAATGTAATTGATATAATTCTTCTTTAAATCAGTTAATCAATTAACTTGTAATAATGATGCCTTAAAAGTAAATACAACTATTAACATTACATGACCTCACTGTGAGAGTAGTTCTCCATTATCCTAAACACTTATTTCATAGCAAACATTAAGTAGTTTTAAAGAAGAAAAGTAATACCTGTCTGTGAGTGGCTGGGATGGGATTCTTTTACACAGTGATGGAAGATCTAAGGAATCTGGTTTTTTATCTATTCGGAGGCATTCTTGAATACTGAGGAATTTAAATATGTGAACTTTACCCTTTAAACATATCTGTTAAACACATGAAAAAATTAATTTAGATGCATGGTATATTTATATCATACACTTTCTACATTTAAGAGTTATTTTTATTAACTTTCTACTATACAAGAATTTACTCTTCCCACTCTCAAATGAAAAAAAAAAGAGAGAGTTTTAGTAGTTTAGCAGTCAGGGCTGGAAAAAAAATCAAATTGTCCAGAAGCCCAAGACAAGCAGACCTGCTCTTTAGGCACATAAAAGTGCAAGGTCTGCCTGCCTGCAGAGTAAGGACAGCAGAGAAGGCTGCCCATGATCTGAATGACATCAGGCACAGAGACAAGGTGGGTGCCATGACGTGTCATATTGGACCAACTTCTCTTGGTGAGACACAAACTTTTGAGGTGTGTAAGCTCGAAAGCTTGTGTCTCTCACCAACAGAAGCTGGTCCAATAAGAGATATTACCTCAACCACTTTGTCACTAATATTCTGGGAGCAACATGGCTACAACAACACTGCATACATCAAACACAGAAGCATTTGGATACCAATCAGAGGGAAAGGTATCAGGGTGCCTGAAGCCGCAACAAAGGTAAATAAGACATCTCCGGGATCAGGGAGGAAAGGAGCGGAGTTTGGACATTTCTGATACATGCTGTATGAAACTTATAATACATATTATCAAACTAAGCCAGTATAAAGGTTATAAACAAATAAGATTAAACTCCAACATTAATTTTCTTATGTCAAAGATGTTTCTAATAAGTACAACTCGTACAACTGTATTCAAGAAAATTTAATGATTACTTTCAAATTTCAGTAAGGGGGAAAAAAGTACGATATAATACCCAGATAAAGGTTGTGTACGTATCAGTAATTTAAAGTTAAAAAAAAAGTTACAGGAATGTAGTAATTATCTCCAAAACAAGCATCACAAGCCCAGGAATATCAGAATTAAACTTAAGAAATCCTAAAATGTTAAGGTATGGAAATGCAAAGGTATGGTTGTTTGGGTGCCTTTAATCTACCCTGTAATGATGTTATTCAATAACTAATACAGTTACCATGCAATTATGACTACTACATATTGTTTGTAGTTTCAGATTAGATTAAACTGATTAAGACCATTTTTGGGGGTGGGCCTTGCTCATTATGTCTCTATAGGGCTGGGTTGAGGAAAAGATCAGCAACAGAAAGCAGATGGAAAGAACAAGCAGAAATATGGATGCAGAGAAAGAAAGATAGCTGTGTGTGGGAGAAAGGAGACTAACCCTAATAGTCACACCTACAATTTTTCTCCTGGGTTAAATCTTTGGATGTTCACGATAATTTGTCAGACTACCACATAGTATAATCAACATCAGCCTGATTTTGGGGGGTTTATTCATAGGTTTGTAGGTTTTTTGTTTTTTAAAGGACAGAATGGACTACTACAATTATCTCTTCTGGCCTCCACATTAACTAATGTAAAGGGTGGGATGAATGATTAAACTACAAAATAATGTTTTGAGCAAAGGATTATGGGTCAAGAAATGCCCTTATATTTCCTTGTGCCACTGGCAGTTGGTTGGTAATTAACCTAACACATCTCACCCTTTCTTAAAATGCTGGGAAAGTTGAGAAAATGCAAGTTTTTTATACTAACCTGTGCCGGTGGTATCTGCATTGGATTGTTATCCAAAATTATTACTTGTAAATGACGTAATTTCCTGTAACAAATTGGGATCTCTGTAATTTTATTACAAGAAAAATCCAGCTTTACCAAGGGAAGGTCTCCCAATTCTGTTAAGGGGGAAAGAAAACAAAATCAGACACCCTAATATTTTGTGTAATTTACCTATTTCAACACGAGGATGGTGAGCAGCTTACCATCTGGCAACACATGGAGATTATTTCTTCTAATGTTCAGTTCTCTAAGTGACTGCAGTTTTCCTATTTGCTGGGGAAGGACCTGAATCTCATTGCAGCTGATATCCTAAGTAAAAGATAATGAGTCAATGAGCTGAACATCTTGACTGAAATTAAACAAAGGAAAAAATTTCAGTGAAAGCTATTACAAAAACACGTTTTAAAGAACAATATCCTCATTCCTTCCCCCTCCCCCTTTCTTACCAAATTGAGAGCTGCTATAACTCAGCTCTAAGGAGAGCCTTTCCAATCTGCAGCAACATTTGGTAGTGTGGGAGCCCAATCAAGGAGTCTAATCCAATGGACAAGGAAAGACCACCTTGAGATTTGCACTGGACCCAATCAGGAGATCTGGATTTGATTCCCATCTCTGTTTTTTGTGTGATTGCAGACAGCTCACCTACATTCTGTACCTCTGCAAAATGGGGATAACAACCTTTCTTCTTCCCTATGTTCCACAATCACCTGAGACCACTGGATCTAAAATGATGAGCCTCTACTGTAGCGGTTCCAAAACTGTGGGTTGAAACACCAAATGGGGTCACACCATCAGCAGAGGGGATGACGGCAATCCCTAGTGAGTGGAAAATTCCATTTTGTGCCACACAGCGTAACCTTGCATATACAGTGTGTGCAAAGTCACAATGCATGGAGGACACCATTTCACTCTACAAAATGGCATCCTCTGCATAGCGTGACCTCACACACACCATACATACAAGGTCACACTTTGCAGACGGTGTCATTTTGCAGAGCAAAATGGCATCCTCCATGTGGCATGACTTCTCACATACGGAGCATGCAAGGTCATGCGTGCAGAGGACACCATTTTGCTCTATAAAATGGCATCCTCCATGCTGTCTGTGGTCCCAGCAGGAAATACTTCATTAAGAAAGGGTTGTGCAAGCAAAAAGTTGGGAACCTGATGCTCTACTGCCTCAGAAAAAATATATCAGCCTAGTCTCACAAAGACTGCTGTAGACTCATTACACCTCGAAGTGGTTCAGCCACAGGGAATAAGCATGGTTTACACCTACTTCACACAGATGTTGCAAGACTAAATTAATTAACGTTTGTTTAGGCATTCACGTAAGCGTGGGAAGGTACCTCTCAACAAGGTGGACAACACCATAAGGCATGTGGTGAAGAAGTGGATGTACCTTCCCCAGCTGGCCAGTAATGAACTGGTGGTCATTTTGCATAGGCAGGATGGTGCCAACATCCCTTGAATAGGTGATCTATGCCACACTGCAGTGATCATTCACGCATTCCGTCTTTTGACATACCAGGACGCTATGGTGAGGAGCACTGCAGCAAGTGCTGTGTGTGATGTCAGAAGGAAGCGAATAGCGAGGACCCCTTCCAGCCAAGATGTCGCCATGTACTTGAGTGGCTCCCTGGAAGGCGAGTTTGGAACAGACTGGGGAGACTTTGCTTCACTTTAGACTTGTGCCCACAATGCTACACGACGGCTGCAGCAGCTTACAGGCTGCCTCTGGACATGGTATGAGGAACGTCAGGAGGTGGGAGTCCTGGTCCCCAGGTCAAGAACATTGCGTACGCAGTCATTACTCTGACAGCAAGGACCATACTCAAGAGGACACTGAAGGATGCCATCCATTGGCAGTAAGTAGAAAACGTGAGACGGAAGTCACATCAGGGCAAGGCTTTTGAGGTGACATGCAAGTGGGATGCCAGGAATCACTTCCTCCCCAGGGACAGCTTCACCTGATTTGACAACTGGAAATTCAGCAACAGGGCTTGGCTCAATTGCATCCCACTGAACAGAGCCATTGGAACAATCGATGCAAAAAGTTTGGCTATTCTAACAAGACGTTACCCCACATCTTGTGCAGCTGCAAACCCAACTCTAAAACCTGCCAGCTATGCCACACCACTATCCAAGACCACCTAATCAAGGCCATCCTGCCAACCATGGGAAAGGTTGCCATGAACCCTGTCCCTGAAACGGAGAATCAACTGTGACTGGACATAGTCATTACTAATGAGGAACAGAAGGTGGTCGTCATGGTGGATGTCATAGTTCCTTCTGAGAACAGAACCCTGGCCTTTTGCGGTGCCAGAGCTCAAAAGCTGGAGAAATACGCCCCCGTGGCTGATGCTTTGAGTGCCAGGGGTTACAAGGTTCAAGCACATTACATGATTGTGGGAGCCTAGGGCACCTGGGATCCTGGTAACAAGCGAGTGCTACTGGAATGTGGAATCGGTCAGTGCAGTGCCCGGCTAAAGCAGTGACTCACGGTGTCAGACACCATCAGGTGGTCAAGGGCATTTATTTAGACTAGAATATATCACCGGACATTGGCAATACCAGGAGAAATGAGCTACAGTGCCAATGAGAAGCAAAGACAGGAAAGTAGCTGAAATTCTTCTCTGGTGGACTATAATTTATTCATGGACAACCTACTTTAAAATTTCAACTATTGAGGGACAATCTACACTCATTACTATATTTATTTTCCACAAGCTACTCTTAGTATAACTTTCCATGAGTGATGTATTTGAGTATTTGGATACAGATATTTAACATGTACTGTTAAATTTATTAACCCTAATTTGAGATATTGCAGATTATGTATTATATCCATTTTATGACTTTTTAAATCAAACTTGCTACTTTTGGATAATTTAACATTATACTTGGATGAACAGTAACTTCTTTATTAACCAGTGTTTTAGATAATTTCAGCATATGCTTTAATAAAATATGGAGAAGACCTAAAAACTTATTTCCAACCTGGTTGAACACTGGTTCAACAAGAGAGACCTATAGCTCCAGTTTTCCAGGTGTGATTCATGTGTGCAATGATAACACTTAGATGTCACACCCAATGCTACAGATGAAAAACTGGAGGTTGATTTTAAAGGGTAGGTCCTTAGAAATAAATCTAGCTTTTTTCTCCGTGCAGCTCCCCTGCTCAGGCGGTGGGACAGGTGAATCCACTTCTGCATACATGTGCCCATTCTTTCTCTTCTGCCTGCTTACTTTAGGACAGAATTCCTTCCCAACATCTCTCTCCAGCATCCATTTGGCTACTTGGGTTGCCTACCAGTTTTAAATGTTCATCGTGGATTGTTAAACTATTATTTAAGTGTACTGAAAACTGGTTAACAGTCTTCTATTTCAAGTCCATGGGGTAATTTAGGAAGGGTGATAAAAACATTCAAAAGTTACACTTCAGTTTTATTTGTGGCGACAAACGCTTTTTAATTTTCTAGATAATTATAACAGAGTGGTGAAGTACACAAAATGAAAGGTTTTTGGTTTTTTTTAAAGGGACAAAAATAGAGCTAGGATGGTTTTTATAAATACTCCATCTCAATATTCGTGGTTGGCAACTGTTGCTTTGAGTCTTTAGAATAAAGACAGCATGCCTACTTGATGGACTAGAGAGCTCTAATGCAGATATCTAATGCAGTGGAAATGATTTAATTGGGGATCAGCACTGCTTTGAGCAGGGGGTTGGACTAGATGACCTCCTGAGGTCCCTTCTAACCCTGATATTCTATGATTCTATGTACATAAAGAGTATTTAAGCACCAGGATTAAAAATACCTTCATGTTGTGTACAGATGGCAGTGTGCTTGAAAACCACTATAATAAAGGCAACAGAGCAAAAACCCACATACGGGAGCTATATTTAATATTCAAGATTGCATTATACACCTTGTGGTGGATTTTTTATTTCTGGCAATATTTTACATGCGCATATGCAGAGCACTGCAGGTCTAGATTTCTGTCAGTGATCCCATGGATCTGTAATTTTAAAAAGCCAGAATTTTCAAGTTCTACATATATACAGTATAACAAAGAACATTTTAAACGTTGCAGAAGTGCCTAAAACAGTGTACACAATTATATTACTGTCATAAATATAAAGGGAAGGGTAAACCCCTTTGAAATCCCTCCTGGCCAGGGGAAAGCTCCTCTCACCAGTAAAGGGTTAAGAAGCTAAAGGTAACCTCGCTGGCACCTGACCAAAATGACCAATGAGGAGACAAGATACTTTCAAAAGCTGGGAGGAAGGAGAGAAACAAAGGGTCTGTGTGTCTGTCTATATGCTGGTTTCTGCAGGGGATAGACCAGGAATGGAGTCTTAGAACTTTTAGTAAGTAATCTAGCTAGGTATGTGTTAGATTATGATTTCTTTAAATGGCTGAGAAAAGAATTGTGCTGAATAGAATAACTATTTCTGTCTATGTATCTTTTTTGTAACTTAAGGTTTTGCCTAGAGGGGTTCTCTATGTTTTTGAATCTAATTACCCTGTAAGATATCTACCATCCTGATTTTACAGGGGGGATTTCCTTATTTCTATTTACTTCTATTTTTATTAAAAGTCTTCTTGTAAGAAACTGAATGTTTTTTCATTGTTCTCAGATCCAAGGGTTTGGGTCTGTGGTCACCTATGCAAATTGGTGAGGCTTTTTATCCAACATTTCCCAGGAAAGGGGGGGTGCAAGTGTTGGGAGGATTGTTCATTGTTCTTAAGATCCAAGGGTCTGGGTCTGTAGTCACCTAGGCAAATTGGTGAGGCTTTTTACCAAACCTTGTCCAGGAAGTGGGGTGCAGGGTTTTGGGAAGTATTTTGGGGGGAAAGACGCGTCCAAACAGCTCTTCCCCAGTAACCAGTATTTGTCTGGTGGTGGTAGCAGCCAGTCCAAGGACAACGGGTGGAATATTTTGTACCTTGGGGAAGTTTTGACCTAAGCTGGTAAAGATAAGCTTAGGAGGTTTTTCATGCAGGTCCCCACATCTGTACCCTAGAGTTCAGAGTGGGGGAGGAACCTTGACAATTACCGAAGGCATTGAGTCTGAATTGCTACAGAAATGGGGGGCAGGCTGTTTGCAATGTGCAGTGAGATAATAGTGCACCTCAACACTGACAAGTCACCACACGTAGCCCAGGTCCTCATTGTTCTATCAAGTTATTATACAGCCATTTGTACACTCAGACTCCATTCTGGGTGAAACTGCAGACAGACTGCAAAAAACTAATCTTTACTTAATATAAGATTGCCTCCTCACATGCAATTAATTCTCACTTGGCTTTTGAAGATTAACTTTATGAAACCCCTGTAAAATCCCCAATAGTAAAAACATTTATCCCGTTTTCAACTGGTAAAGATGTCGGGGCTTTAAACAGTGAGTAAACACATTTTAAAAATATGAAAGAAACCTTGACAATATACTTTCAAATACACTAACTAGTTAATCGAAATGTAGTATTCTCAATTCCCCCCCCCAATAAAAATGTTTCTTTACCCCACAGAAAGTATAGTACAAGAGAAAGAATAGGATAAATAATGGGCATTCATTTCACTAATATATTTCACAAAGGAAACTGAGTTCAATCTTTATTTCTGACTTTTCAAATGAAAAAGCTGGGACCTGGAATATGCTCATGTTTCATTACAGGTGTGAGTGTAATGTTCTAGACTTATCACAAAACTAAGCATATCTGTTACAGGTGAACTACAGCAACAAGTTAAAAGACCCAATTTCATTTTAAAGTAAGCGAGGCTACATTCCTTCATAATTTACTTGTTACTACATATTAAACTGAGAAACCATATTCAATAAATAGAGGTTTCTCAGATTTGTCTTTCATGTCAATCAATGTATTAAGAGAAAGTTTGATTACTTATATATTTCAGTGTTTAGTTATTCTAAATTGTTAATAACTTTGTAACTGTACTTTGAATGCTGCAATATACGGTTGAACACTGACCATGCAATAACTAAGTTGGCATTCTGCATCAATGATTCACATCCCCCTGGACCTAGAACTGCATAGGAGAGACTCCCACAACCTGGAGGAATTAGGCTCCAGGAGGTTCCTTCCCTTGTTCCCGCCACATGGCCTTTGGGAAAAACTACAGTGGGGAATCAGTCAGACTCCAGCCAGTAGGAGCCAAAGTAGGGAGCTTTGGACATTTCTGGTAGGTCTACACTGAGTTTTGGAGCCCATAAAACCAAGTCTCCCAGCCCAAGTCAACAGATTACCCCTCTCCCCGAGGCTTCAGACCCCAAGCTCCAACCCAAGCCACAACTTCAAAGAGCTGTTTACACAGCTATTTTTAGAATGCTAGCATGAGCCGTGCTAGCTCAAGTCTGCCAAGAGAACTGCTCCCCTGGGCTTCCGAGCACTGTGTAAACATACAGTCAGAGAACTTCTCAGTTTTGACTTGTCTTTCTTTGCCCTGTGCCAATCAGAATTGTTAGCACCAATCCTCTCCATCCCATCCACCCCTTACAGTCTCTTCACCTCAGTTTAACTCCACACTTTTCCCTCTTAAACTCTTCCCCCTGCCCTGTCCCCCTCACTTCCCCTCCCCTGTTAGCTTATCTTGTAAGTAATTCCCTCCCTCCACACCCACCAAAACAAATACAGGCAACACGACATTTGCTGCCCTCACATTGTTCACTCTGCTTTTGTCTCATATCCCCTTACTCAACCAGATGGGTGTCTTTAAGCTCTTTACAGCAGGGACTGTCTTCTACTCTGTACAGTGCTTAGCACAATGGGGCCCCACTCTTAGTCAGCCCTTTGCACAATCAGAATAAACTACTAATAGTAGTAATATCAAATTATACTTTTCTTACAGCATTAATAAGTTATCTATACCACAATACACATAACAGTGGTGTACACAATTATACTCACCAACTCCATCAGGTCTCTTAACTTTCCAATTTCTTCTGGAATGGATACCAGCTTATTATTACTGACAACCAAAACTTTAAGTGGTAGGTCAAACAGGTATTTTGGCAATGTTGCTAAAAGATTTCGACTAAAAAGGGAAAAAAAAAGTTTAAATTAAAATAGTCTCTTGAAGCTTAATAGGAATTCTGAGAAAACATTCTCTCTGTTCCAATAGGTATTAAAGTACACAGCAATACCTCTCATTCAAATTTTAGCTGTGTTCCCCAGTATGAATGACTTACATGAAAAAGTCTGCCTTAACTAAATAAATTCCATGTCCCCATTCAATTTAAATAAAATAGCGTTCAAGTGTAATAATTTAGTCTTCCCATAATATGATGTAAATCTAGGGAATAAGATGCAATTATAAAAACATTTCAACATCTTGCCATGTAGAAGTAATGTCAAGTGAAATGGACTCAAGATAGACAAGACAAAATAAGCAAACCCACTGAGTTGTAAATTGAATCTCTGGGCTTGTCTACACTTGAAATGCTACAGCTGAACAGCTGCGCTTTAGTGCGTAGACTCTACCTAGGCTGATGGCAGGGGTTCTCCTGTCAGTGTAGGTAACTCATCTCCTCGAGACGCAGTATCGAGATTGATGGAAGACTGCCTACAAGTGAACTTAGGTTGCCTTAAACTATGTCGCTCTGGGGGTGTGAATTTTTCTCAGCCCTGAGCAACGTAGCTGGATTGATCTAATTTTCTAGTGTAGACCAGACCTCTCTTAGGGCTCATTTTCATTTCACCAGTACAGTCTAGTTACTCCACTCCAGCTAGCCTGGCTCAAGAGAATGACCGACCACACTATGAAACATTCAAGCTATATAGTGATTTTGACGAGCAACACAGAGCGGGAATTGAGGGAACAGTTTTGGATAACCACAGGGAGACAGGTCCTGCAGGAGTGTCTGAAAGCAGCTGAGTCCTTCCTCCTCTTCACCAAGCAAGGATACTCCCCCAGAGAAGTAGAGCACATCATGAAATGGGCCACCCAAATACCTTGAGAACCTGCTTCAATACAGAATAGAACTCCTACTTCAATGAGCATTTGTTCTAGTCTTGTTTGAGGAGATTTTTTCTGCATCTTTTATCCCCAGAAGCAAAGAAGAGAATTGTGCTTTCTGGCCCTTTGCACAGGAAAAGAAAAACAAACAGTGTAGGTCTCTCAGATGTCACTAGTCCTCTTAAAAACCTCCACAAAGCAGACCATTTCTTACCCTGCAAATTTGCCAGTGCATAACTTCCTAAATATTCCTTCCTGTTTCAGATTTGGTCTTGTATACTACACCTCCAAAAGCTTCTGACTAAACTTCACTTGAAGTTTGAGTAAAAAAAAAAGACAAGACATGGGGGGGGGGGAAAGCATTCGAGCTTTCAAGACATGATTAACAATTATTTTTCCCGAGTCCTCTCTCTCTTTTTCTCTCAATCAAGTCACCTCAAACTTGACAAGAAAAAAAATGACGGATGGTCACAAATCCCGTTGCAAAATGTATAGTGGAAGAGATTATTCCAGAATATCTTAGGTGATCAGGGACCAAAATTTGGGCATATTGTACAAAACAAGTCTCAGCAGCGCATGGGAAAGTTACAGTTTTCCATAATGCCCCATTCAATATATATGTATACCCATTACACTTTATAAGTCTTCCTGTAAAGCTGGTGTTTATTTCTTTTCCTTCGTCTCACAAGATCCCACTATTTGTTTGCAGTAATGCAGTCACCTCTCTCACTACTCATTTGAGTGCTAAGTCTGTAGAGCCTTCTGAACAGAATAATCCAGCTTCTATAGCCTATTTCCAACCTTCATCGACACTTATCTGTATAGCACCAGAAACAAAGGAAACTTCCATTAGCTTCCCACATAGTTAGCTTCTACAATTTACTGTATGGAATACGGTAATACAGTCAACTCCTTCCCATGAAGGAAGAAGCAGGAGCTACTTGACCTACAACCAAAAGACAAAAACTATAGAACAATGTTTAACAAGCTGAGGAAAAGCGGGGAACAAATGTAATGAAGGTCCTGAGGATGATGAATGCCATCTTTCCTGATGGTCTATATATAATCCCTAGACATCAACAGGAAAAAACAGTTACTCACCTAATATTAAGATATGTTAACATTTGCAGATTTTTGATGGCTTCAGGAATGGATTTGATGCAGTTGTGATAGAAATTTAAAGTCTCAAGTGGTGCAAACAGCCAGACATCTGAAGGAATTTCAGTAAATCTGTTCTTTGAAAGATCTGAAACAAAAAAAAGAAAAGAAAAGACTTTTCTAAAAAGTCAAAAATTTAAACCAAAATTGAAGAGATACACAAGATAACTGCTGTCCTTGCCATGTCCCTGCAAGATTAGGTGTTTGATGTTTATAAGTATTTTGGTTTTACTAGATGCTGCTGAGAAAAATCATAATGAAGATTTTGATAATTAAAATAAATAACAGACGAAAGCCTTCCAAAAATAAAAAATAGTGAAAGATACCATTAACATTGCATTTGATTATAAACTTATGCTATAAAAAGTACAAGAATCTAAAGTTATGCTACACCCTACTCCTATAAAGAAGTTAGAAATATTCATCACAATTTTAAATTGTAAATTTTTTCCTCAGTTCTATACATCTGTTTATTCCTCTAAATTTTTCACTTGCTAGGTGCAACAAGACAACTCATTTAACATATTACAAGACAACTGAATAGATTGTTTCCCACTGGTACCAGTTACATTAGAACCTAACGTTCTAAAGTTGTTTCAGGATATCTGCAAGAATAAAGCTAGGTGTGCAGAACTTATCCATTCACCCAGTTAAACAACATTATTTTAGCAGATTTATCATGCCTTTCATCTCAAGAAAACACAACTGTCATGTCTTCCATTTAAGAAGTACTAATCAAACAGTTCAAAACAGAATAAAATCCAGACAAACACACACTAGGAGTATTTTAGTGGGCAGAAGAGGGGTGTAGTTTCCACCACATTCAAGTCGCCACGGTGATGTGTTCCAAATGATGGCTTGCATTTTGAAACTAAATGGTTGGAACAAATTTGAATACTACAGACTATACGAAAAAAGTTCCCATACCATAAAAAAGTTGCAACGACTTCATCAAGTCTACGTTCTCAAACCAAGTGACAGAATCAGTGCATGTCATCTTTGACAGGTGAAAAGAAAAGGAGTACTTGTGGCACCTTAGAGACTAACCAATTTATTTGAGCATGAGCTTTCGTGAGCTACAGCTAGTCTCTAAGGTGCCACAAGTACTCCTTTTCTTTTTGCGAATACAGACTAACATGGCTGTTCCTCTGAAATTTGACAGGTGAGTTCACTGAGTAGTTTTAATACACATCCATTTAAAAGTGTGGTATGAACCCTGAATTCCAGAGGTGATCAGTAAAGCTGCGATTTAGCCACAGAGGGCAGAGCAGTCACAGAATCCGTGACTTCCAAAGACCTCCGTGACTTCAGCCAGTGCCGGCTGGGAGCTGCAGAGTCCCCTGTTGCCTGTGGAAGCATGGAACTGCGGGGTACGCCCGCTGCCCCCAGGCAGGAATGGGGGGGAGGACCCCTGCTGCTCCTGGCCGCCCCAGGCAGCAAGGGGGGGACCCTCGCTGCCGGAGCTGCCAGCGGAGGGGGCCCCTGGAGCTTCCAGTCCACGCCAGATGCCCAGGCTCCCCATTTTGTTATGGATATTTTTAGTAAAGGTCAGGGACAGGTCACGGATTCTGTGAATTTTTCATTATCGCCCACGACCTGTCCGTGACTGTTACTAAAAATATCTGTGACAAAATCTTACCTGTATCGATCAGTTAACCACCAAAAGTTTTAAAAAAAATGTGTTAAGATCCTTAGCACAATAGTATATATCACAAAGACAAGTGACTTCACTTGGATAGATCAGTAACGCCCTTTGAGTCCTTTCTCACTATCAACTCAGTGATTTAATATCGAGCAAAACCATTCAGCTAATTAAGTTATGACAGGACAGTGGGTGGGCAAATGTCCACACAGAAGCACAGAAATGTCAGACTGGAATGGACCTCAACAGGTCGCTTAGTCCAGTCCCTGGCACTGAGGCAAGTCTAGGTATTATTCTAAGCTATTCCTGACAGATATTTGTCTAACCTGTTCTTCATAACTTCCAACAACAGAGATTCCACATCCTCCCTAGGAAATTTGTTTCAGTGCTACACTTTCAATTACAAAGGTTTTCCTAAAGTCTAACCTAAATCTCCTTTGCTGCAATTTAAGACCATTACTTCTTGCCCTGTTCTCAGCAGATGAGAAGAACAATTTAACACTCTTCTTTATAACAATCTTTTATGTACACGAAAACTGTATCACATCCCCCCTCAGTCTTCTTTTTCCCAGACTAAACAAACTTAACTGCATGCATAAATGCATGATTTGTGTACAAAGCTGTAGTAATGTCAAATTAGAAGTACACAATGTAAGGACCTTGCTGCTCTCTATGAACATTTGGCTTTTTGTGCCAATTTTCAGTAAAGATCAAAGTAAAATCCTGGCCGCACTGACGTCAATGGCCAAGATCTCAGCCCAAGTTTTTAGAACAAAATAAGATCCCCTAACATTAGGGTTTAAATGAGGTGTGATAACCTTTATATAAAATTTTAAGTGTTAAAAAAGTAACTACCTATACAGTATCTTTTCATTCATGAATAATTTTTTTCTTCAAGAAAACGGGAAGACTGGGGAAGAGTCAGGCCTATCTATTTCTTTATACATTTGTGTAAGGCTTTTTCTTCAGGGAGTGGCTGAACACTGTTCTTTACCGAAACTGACAAAATGAGGTAACAGCTTCTTCCAAAATAATCCATAACAATGAACAGTAAAGTTACGTATGGGATTAATTCATTTGTCAATTATATTTAGACTTGGAAAAATTAGATTTTTAAATTGGTAAACATTTCACCAAACGCAATGGACAAAAAAATATTTCCACTGATGATGAAGTAAGGCAAAAAAAAAGAAAAATGCTGCTTGAGAACACAGTAGAGTTTAAGGATATTTATTTTTATATTTTGACATGTGATGTTGACAATTTGTGTTTTAACTTTTTAAATCTCAATGTCTACGATCATTGAATAATTATATGTAGTATTACAGCACTATCATTCTTTAGCGTTATTACCACATAGGCATTATTTTTCCTCTTGCTGTTGAATTGGTCCATGAAAGATTTTCCATTGGTTATGCACCCCTTTCATCGTGTGGATAAAACAAAAAATGCTTAAGAACAAACACTGATATCAGTCAAAATTATAAAAAAAATTATTAAAATCTAGTTCTGCCAAGCCTACTTATATTGAATATAGATTAAGGGCACACAATCTAGATAGAATACAGAGATGCAAATGTTAACCAGTACCTTTCAATACTATCATTTGTGTGTTATGTACTGCAAACCAAGTTTTGAGAAAATTTGAGAATCTAAATTCAAATGTTTTGAAGTTACATAGTTTCCATAAAAATATGTACATTTGGGATTATATCTAAATTAATTTCTACATAGAGTTCTGAACTAAACTACAAAAAACCCTAATGTGCTAGCCTGACTGGTAATAGGTAAGCGTTTACTTTTTTCAGTCTTTGTGGTAATACTTGAGAAGGTTCTGAACCTACAACCAATCTACTAGAATTCTTTGAGGGGGTAAACAAGCATGTGGACCAAGGGGATCCAGTGGATATAGTGTACTTCGGTTTTCAGAAAGCCTTTGACAAGGTCTCTCACCAAAGGCTCTTACACAAAGTAAGCTGCCACGAGAGAAGAGGGAAGGTGGTCTCATGGATTGGTAACTGGTTGAAAGACAGGAAACAAAAAGGGATATAAATGGTCAGTTTTCAGAACGGAGAGAGGTAAACAGTGGTGTCCCCCAGGGGTCTGTTCTGGGACCAGTCCTTTCAACATGTTCATAAATGATTTGGACAAAGGGGTAAACACTGAGGTGGCAAAATTTGCAGATGATACAAAATTACTAAAGATAGTTAAAACCCAGGCAGACTGCAAAGAGCTACAAAAGGATCTCTCAAAATTGGGTGACTGGACAACACAATGGCAGATAAAATTCAATGTTGATAAACGAAAAATAACGCACATTGGAAAGCATAATCCCAACTATACATATAAAATGATGGGATCTAAATTAGCTGTTACCATTCAAGAAAGATCTTGGAGTCATCGTGGATAGTTCTCTGAAAACATCCACTCAATGTGCAGCGACAGTCAAAAAAGCGAACAGAATGCTGGTAATAATTAAGAAAGGGATAGATAATAGGACAGAAAATATCATATTGCCTCTATATAAATCCATGGTACGCCCACATCTTGAATACTGCGTGTGGATGTGGTCGCCCCATCGCAAAAAAGATATACTGGAACTGGAAAAAGTTCAGAAAAGAGCAACAAAAATGATGAGGGGTATGGAACAGCTTCCATATGAGGAGAGATTAATAAGATTGGGACTTTTCATCTTGGAAAAGAGACGGCTAAGGGGAGATGTGATTGAGTCTATAAAATCATGACTTGTGTAGAGAAAGTAGATAAGGAAGTGTTTTTACTACTTCTCATAACACAAGAACTAGGGGTCATATAATGAAATTAATAGGCAGCAGGTTTAAAACAAATAAAAGGAAGTATTTCTTCACACAACACAAAGTCAACCAGTGGAACTCCTTGCAGAGGATGTTGTGAAGGCCAAGACCATAACAGGGTTCAAAAAAGAACTAGATAAATTTCTGGAGGATAGGTCCATCAATGGCTATTAGCCAGGATGGACAGGAATGGTGTCCCTAGCCTCCGGGCACTGGCCCTGGGGCACCGGGCACTGGCCACTGTCGGAAGACAAGATACTGGGCTAGATGGACCCTTGGTCTGACCCAGTAGGGCCCTTCTTATGTTCTTATGTACAACACTTATGCATGTAAGCAACTTAACTTACACAATTAGTACTACTGAAATCAATGGGGAAATTCAGGTAAGTAAAGTTACAAGTATTTATGCACCTAAGTAGGTGCAGGCCTTAAGGCCTCGTCTACACTACAAAATTTTGTTGGCAAAAGTTGCGCCACTTTAATTAAAACCAATGCTGCATGTCCACACTAGTTTCTTGTGTCAGCAGAGTGCATCCACACTAACAACTCTTGCATCGACACAGAGCAATGCACTGTGGTAGCTATGCTACTGTGCAACTGGCCACAAGTTGCTTTGGGAAGGGTTAGGGTTTG